GCCATTTTGGGTTTTTTGTGCTATTGGGTTGGGCCTTGGTTTTAGGCCAAGTAAGAAAAGGGTAAAATGGTTTTACCCTTTAGGAAGTTGGTTTATGAAGTGAGCCTCAGGTTTTGGGTTTCGGGATAATTATTGATTAAGTTCTGTATTTATTGTTAGTTGGCGCGAAGCTATCCGGTTTAGCGACCCGAGCAGTCATATGATTATCAGCGGATTAAGGTGAGTCTTCCTCACCATATTTACCAAGTCAAAGGAACCAAAGCCGACCCATGGTTTATTATGTTAGGGTGTTAGATGTTTGTGTGACTCTTGAATGGGTATGTGTTTATATGCTTAGTGGGCGGGGCCCCATAGGTATTATGTATGCTATTACTTGTTATACTCGTATGCTTGTATGCTAGGCGGGGCCCGTTGTGAGAGTTAGGTCGAGGCCCGTTATACTCAGTGGGCGGGACCCGTTATGCGAATTAAGGCGAGGCCTGTTATACTCAGTGGATGGGGATCGTTATGCGAGTTAGGGTGGGGCCCATTATGTGTTTGATATGTGTGGTACGTTGTATTTGGGGGAAACTCACTAAGCTTTCTGCTAACGGTTTTTCAGTTTATGTTTTAGGTACTTCTAGTGCAAAGGGGAAGAGATCTGGGTGATTACAGTGCACACATAATACTGTTCCGCATTATCATGATAACTCTAATATTTTATAACATATTGATACATTTGTCCACTTGGGATTTATGATGATGTTTTGGGATACTGTTTTTATTAATTAAAAAATAAAACTTATGGGTCTTATTTTTGGGACGTTACACTACATTTATACGATTGCAATATTAAGTAATTGTGGAGTTTCCAATGGATATGTAGCGAAGTTCGTTATCACGAAAAACCTTCTCAATATTTTCCCAAACTTCAAACGCAATAGCTTTCTTCTTAAAAAAATCATTTGGAGAAGAGAGATAGTAAGAGTACCGTACAACTAGGACTTAACAATGGAGTCCAATCTGTCCCATTCATTGGAATCGAAGGAATTGGGTTGCTTCTCACGGCGGAGGTAGGTGATTGGGAATGCCATAGCTGATGCAATGGATCTCAAACAGTTCCTACTAGATGTCATAATTCATTTTGTCAAAATGCACAAGAGGAACAGCATGCTTAATGTTAATCAGACATAAAGGGAGAAGTGTTTGATTTTGGAGATCCAATCATGGTGATTGAATGGAATGAGAGAAGAAGAATTAAACGAGAAGAAAAGGGGATGAGGAGATGGTTGATGGTAGGGAAGTCGTCGACAGGCTATGCTATCAATAGCGCGCAATAGCGGTGCTATAGCGACGCTATAGCATTTTGCAGTGTTACTAAACCGCTATTTTGAAATAGCGTTTACGAATAGCGGTGACGCTATTAGCGGCGCTATTGACTGCTATTTACCGCGAACCTCATGAGTGCTATTGCGATGCTACACCCGCTTTTACAATTTTGTACATATGAGGCTATTTTTATAAAGAAAAAAAAACGATTGTGTGTTATTTCAATATTAAATATTTATTTATTTAACTAGTCCACTACACTTTTTGTCTTAATGGGTCCAAATAATAAATATAATTAATTACAAAGTACAAAGCAACAAATGACAACTTCGTCTGTTTCACTACCTAAAACCCACGAACGAATTGAGCTGCAATGACATTTGACACTTTTTAGTTTTCATATTACTATATCAGAATATTGTATATAGACTATGTTATGTTTTTATATGATTTTTTATGATATTAATTATATATAGTATTAATAAAGTAATACTCCCTGCGTCCCAAATTAATGGTCCATTTTTTACTTTTGAAGTCTTTTTTCTTCAACTTTGACCTTAAATATTTTTATTTGTGTTATATATTACTTGATGAAACTGATAACAATGAAAAGAAATTTAAAATACAATCTATTCATATATTTTGTATTAAGTATTATCTATCAAAAAGAAAAATATTTAAGGTCAAAGCTGAAGAATAAAGACTGAAAAAGTCAAATGTGGACAATTAATTTGGGACGGAGGTAGTATATAAATTTTGTATAAATATATAACATAAATTATACATAATATTAAAAAACCGCTATACAACCGCGATAACCGCAATTTTAAATAGCGGCATGTGATTGCTATTGAATTTTCAACCGCGATAACTGCTTAATCCACAGGAACTAGGGTTTTTGGAGGATTACTTTACGTGAAAGTTTTACTGATACCATGAAATCCCGATTATTTCTTGTAACCTTATTCCATTCATGATTAAGGAATATATACAAATTACATAGGAAAATGGCCCTAATACAAATTACATAGAAAAATGGCCCAATACACATGGCTATTCTAAACTGAACTATCTATACATGTATACTAATAACACAAATAATGATACAAATAATAACGATATGCTAACACTCATGAAAATTAAACTTGATGAAGATTGTTTCTGATAATCTTAACAATGTTATTATAATATTGTTTCCAACACAACTTCATTAGAATGTAAATGAGTTGCACAAACATTAAATCGTCCCCTGATTTTACAGGAAATGTCAAATTCAAATAATAAAATTCAAAAAACAACATAATTTAATAAAATATGAGGAATAGAATTGAGATCAAAAGACCATGAACTTTCAAATAAGAAATTCTAAGCATGACCCAGAAGTTGCTTCAATAATTAAAGTGCAAAGTTTGGATAGTAGTAACATAAGAGTTTCAAGTTCATTAACACTACTCGTTTATAATAATAGGAAGGATCGAATACTTCATAACTATATTGGAATTGATCAGGTACTTCAATTTTGTCATGTCTTTTTTATAGTTGCAGCATATTAACGTGAGGAAGCATGTCGATAAAGTTCAACTAAGAGAAGAACCCATTGGTTAAATAATAACAATATTTGTTCTAAAAATAAATATTCCTAATTATAGATTAACCATAACAAAAATCAATTTTCCGCCTTATATTTCTAATTCTCGATTTAGGCAGATTCTTCTATTTCCACATTTTCTCCACATTAAATAGAGAATGAAAACAGAGGCAAACGAATCGATTTATTTCTTGTGTTTTTCTTTCTCGTATTAAAACAAGCAAGAAAAATGCTGCATTCCATTTCTTTTCATCCAAATACCCCTATGTTTACGTTCAGTTTTTATCCATAATAGGGTTATAGGCAAAAGTATTTCCCATTCTAGTGTATTTTCAAAAATATTTACAATATTAGTTTTTTTTTTTTGTTGTTTTTTTTTCAGTTTTTCTTAATGTTTTTTTTTAAATATATCCAACTTTTCTCCATTTCTCTTTTATTTCATATTTTTACTGCTTTTTGTTAAATACTAACAATTATTTTTTTTTCAAGTTTTTACTGTTTTTTCAAATAAATTTTTTTTATATATTTTAAATTTTGTTTTTATTTTAAATATCTATTTTTTTATACATACAATTTTTTAGCCATCATAAAACTAAACATACAATATATTTTAAGATGCAAAAAATCCAAGATTACACATATAATATTTTTAAGATAAAAAGCACTCAACATTGTTTGCTAAAAAAAACTCCACAACAAAAAAAAAACATCAATGCTCGTAGGATACGGCAAGATGGAGAATTTAAAGATTGTGACATTAAATAAAATTTTTGAGACCAATTCGTGTCAATAAGACATGTTAAAATTTAAACAATATAAAATGAAAGTATGAAAACGGCATTTGTTCATGTCATCCGGTTTCATGTTACTTGTATTACTTTTTCTTTCTTTCCAATGTATGATTGACAAAAGTATGAATAAGATATCAATTCATTTTGCTCATGGTGTTTAAGAGTTTCTTCTAATTCATTATTCAATTCATTGGTGTGACTCTATTATTACAACATTTTTTTTGTTAGCACTAAACAATTGAGTTTTGTCGGTATGCTTTTTTTTAAAGGTAAAAATAAAATGGTTTACCTTACCTATAATAAAAACAACAATTTAATATTTTAATATTATTTAAAAGGATTTGTTATTGGTTCAAGTTAAAACTAATTGTGATGTTTTTTCTTTTGTAACAAATAATATTGGAGTTTTTTTTTAATTATGGTGTTTTTTATAACAAACAACGTTGAGTGTTTTTTACCTTAAAAACATTATATGTGTAATGTTAGAGTTTTTGCAACTTAAAATATATTGTATATTTAATTTTATGATGGCTAAAAAATTGTATGTATAAAAAGATAGATATTAAAAATAAAAAATATAAATAAAAAATTTAATTTAAAAAAATAGTAAAGACTTGAAAAAAAACATATTATTTAAAAAAACAATAAAAATGTGAAATAAAAGAGAAATGGAGAAAAGTTGGATATATTTAAAAAAAAAACATTAAGACTTGAAAAAAACATATTATTTAAAAAAAACATATTATTTAATTTAAAAAAATAGTAAAGACTTGAAAAAACATATTATTTAAAAAAAAACAATAAAAATGTGAAATAAAAGAGAAATGGAGAAAAGTTGGATATATTTATAAAAAAAAAAACATTAAGAAAAACTAAAAAAAAAAATAAATAAGAATGAAAAAAAATACTAATATGTTAAATATTTTTAAAAATACAAATAGTTTTGTCTGTAACCTCGTTATAATGGTAAATATTTTTAAAAACTCTGTTTACAAGAATATTCAAAATCGAGATATAATTTATCAAAAGTCGTTGTTGACTTTGACTTCCTTTATATAGAAACAACAAGTCAACAAGTACTTGGTCGTTGGTGCATCCATTGAAGTTGGGCTTTCCTTTTAGCTGGGCTTCATTATTAGTTACATCTCATAATGTTAATTAAGTTGAGTCCAACCCAATAAATTGAAGGCGCATGTAATTCAAACAAAGACTTACCCAAAATTTTAGCGACTCTATGTAAGTTTTCTTTTGCAGTGGAGGTCACCTCCCCCATTTTCTTCTCTGCAAAACCATTGACCTTACAGTAACACCCAATGGTTACTGAAGAAGGATCTTCATCTTCTTTGCCGATTGTTGGTCATAAGTATGACGTATTTGTAAGCTTTAGTGGTGTTGACACTCGTACTTTAACTGATGACCTATATTACGCTCTCCTGAATGCCAATATCACGACCTTCGTTGACGTTGAACAGATTGAAACAGGGGAAGATCTGAAACCTGAATTGGAGAGTGCGATTAAAGCATCTAGGGTTTTTCTTATCGTTTTGTCGAAGAATTATGCTGGTTCCAAATGGTGCCTTGAGGAATTGGTGTTGATCCTCGAGCAACGTAGGACATTAAACCATATTGTTATCCCCATCTTCTATGATGTTGCGCCCACTGCTGTCAGGAAGCAACTAGGTAGCTTTGGAGATGCGATTGCTAAGCATAAGCAGGCGATGGAGGCGGAGACAGATGCAGATAAAAGAAGTCAATGGGCTCATAGGGTTGACCGATGGACTAAAGCGCTTGGAGAAGTTGGTAATTTATTTGGTATGAGCGGAGATGCCGGGTAACTACTTTCTCCCTATGCATTTCAATAGGTTTCTTTGACATCATCAAATGTATACATATGTATCTTTTTAGATTGCATATAACATAAAATCGATCTAAGTTTTCAATTTAGTGATGTCGTAAATTCAATAATATATATATATATATATATATATATATATATATATATATATATATATATATATATATATATATATATATATATATATATATATATATATATTAACTACAGTGACGATCTATTTACTTTATAACACGTAATTTTTGTTTATTTAGATAAATCATTTTCATAATTTTATACGCTTTCGATTAAAAACCGAATGTTGAACCGTTTGCATCCGCACACTTATAACCACTTTGTTGGTCTAATAGAAATATAATGAAATTTTGTGGCCCTGGCCAGTTAGTTAAATCTTGGATACATTGGTAGATGTGATCTTATTATACATAAACAATATCACCTTACATTAGATATTGATATGGTAAAAAGTTCAAATATAATATAGTTTTGATGTAATTGATAATTTTAATATCCAAATATGGCATGTTAGATTTTTGGATTGTGTTTTGTGGTTTTTACTAAGATCAAGTTTCAGGCAAGAGGCGGAGCTCATTCAAATTATTGTCGAGTACCTCAAGCGTAGATTATGCATATCCTCATGGAGTCCTCTGCCCTTAGAGGTTAGTTCCCAAAATCATGTATATAGCTATATTTTTTACAGTCTGGTTTGATATTAATTAGTCCAGGTCATTTGTCAGATACAGCAACCGAACCACTCCGAAATCCCCCTCCAGGCCATAAATAATTGTACCCAAAACTTCAACAAAAGAAACTTCATCGGGAAAGGTGGATACGGAAATGTCTACAAAGGAAACCTCACTTGGGGAGCTCATGTAAACAAACTAGTTGCTGTAAAACGGTTAGATGTCACTGGGTTTCAAGGTAGCAAGGAGTTCCACACCGAGCTAACAATGCTTTCACAACATCATCACAAAAACATTGTGACTCTGATAGGGTTTTGTGATGCTAACAAGGAAATGATCCTTGTATATGAATATGCAAGCCATGGAAGCCTCGACAGACATTTGCTTAACCCTTATGCTCGACTAACATGGCTACAACTCCTCAAAATATGTGTTGACATTGCTTCGGCATTGGACTATCTTCATAATCATGTAGCAGACAAGCACAGAATAATACATCGCGATATAAAAAGCGCGAATATTTTGTTGGACGAGAATTGGAATGCAAAACTTGCGGATTTTGGGTTGGCTAAGATAGGACTCGCTAATCAACAAAACACATTTGTGATAACTAATCTTGCGGGGACACATGGTTATTGTGACCCACAATATAGAAGAACAGGTTTTTTAACAACAAAATCTGATGTATATTCGTTCGGTGTGGTTTTGTTTGAAGTTTTGTGTGGAAGGTTGGCATGTGATGTAAATTACAATGACCAACATCGATTCCTTTGTTTTTTTGCTCCAACTTGCTACAAAAATGGAGAGTTAGACAAGATTATTGATCCAAGAATAAAGGAAGACATCAAACCAAGTGCATTGGTCAAGTTTTCAGCTATTGCTTATCGATGCTTGCTAGAAACTCGTGAAGATCGGCCTACGATTGCTGAGGTTGCATTCCAACTAAAGGAGACCATGAAAAATCAAGTATGAACGTCTTTTTTTTTTATCAAAGTTTTAGTATCGTTTTTTTATCAAATCCATTAATATGGGCATGTTTCAAGTGGAAAAAGTATTACTACATAAAAGTACATGACATGACTTAGTCTTACTGACACATCATTTGTTTTTTGATTCATGGTCAGTTAGAAGATGGTTTCCTCTGATGAATTACACGTCAGGGCATTGGAATAAGGTGTGTCACATCGCCTATAAACCTATTGATGAGGATACATGTCAAGGCATGAGAATGTGGCTTGTTAATGTCTTAGTGGAATAGAAGAATGTTGAAACTAGTGATTTCAGTAAGAAACAAGATGGGAAGGGCAAGAGAATAGATCTGAAGGAAAGGTTACATTCATAGCCCCTAAAATTTGGGATTAGTGACAGATTAGTGACGGATAACGACAGAACCTCAACGGATTAATATTCCAGGACCGCTTCATGACACGGGGTCTGTGCAGTCGCACACCCAACAACTCCTCAGGGCGGCCGTTTACAGCAATGTGTTGCAAATGTTATCATTGAAGATTGTCTTCTTTGTTTAGAAATAGAGGGCCTTCCCCTATCAATGTGGTCTCTTGAATTTGTTTCACTATTTCTAATGTTTGGCTTTTGGTTCTAATAGTATTATACAATGCTTGATCCTGTTTTCTCTTCTCTGCTTTACTTGTTTTATGCCGAATCAGCTATCATTTTCGTGATAGTGGTTATGCTGCTAATTACACATATATATTAAACATGCAGTTAACCTATGAAATAGATGTTTGTATACATATTTATAAAAACATGTGTTTGTATAAAAAAAAATTATTTATAAAATGTGTATGTATACAAATACATTTATTATAAAATAGATGTTTGTATATATTTTTTTATAAAATGTGTGTTTGTATTCATTTAAAAAAAAACGGGTTTATATTTCTTTATGTACTTAATAAATACATATTTTTATAATTAGGTATTTTGAATACTAAAGAGTTTAAAAAAATGTTTTTATATAGAAAAAAAGGGTTTTTATGTGAAAATATGTTTTTTTTTATATAAATATGATTTTACAGAGCAAAAAACATCTTCAAAACAAAATTGTGAAAAAAAAACAACTAAATTTATTATGAATTCGTAACAAAATTTTAAAATCTGGACTAAAAATATAAAATTTGGACCAAACTAGTATTTAAAATTTAAAATCTTGGCCAAAATGTAATTTTTTTAAAACTAGATTACCTCTTAACAGTATGAAAAGATAAACATAAGTTCGATTTCCGATATTTTGGACTTAACTGACAAAGAAAATAAAAACTAAATCGATTATTAAACCTAAATATAAAGACTTTTCATGAGATTTCCCTTATTTTAAAAAAAAATAATAATAAAAAAAATATAATCGCTAAAAGATATATCAAAGATTTTAGAGGTCTAAATAAATGGATCCTTCTTGGGATGGAGGGTAGTCACCCAACCCAACTCTTTCAATCCATTTTCACATCATTTTTTTCTCCCCTTACTCTTCCATCTTTCTTAACCCATTACACATAAAAACTCATCTTTCCAACCTACTAAATTTGATACAAGTTTTATTGTACAAGTAACCAAAGCATGAGAGAGTACATAACAACTTTGGTACATATTATAGAAAGGAAATAGATCTTAATGAAAGTAAAATTCTTGTAATAAATCTCAATCTATAATTTACATTGCTTAATATAAATATAGTTTATGAAAAAAAAAAAATCACACCAAAATCACTACGACGAGTGACAAATAACAGCCTTACAATTACACTCGCCATCTATAATCCACAACCCAAAACTTTCAAGTCTATTTCTAACCAAATCCAACCCCAAATCAGAATTCCAAAACACAACCTTCGTCTCATTCTTCATCAAACTTCCACTATCTTTCACTTCAACCCCCTCATCATTTACCCTTTCCAACTTTACACCCTTCGCCTCCAACAACTTCCCTACCAAAATCCCAAAACTACCCTCACCACCCATCCCTGCAATCTCATCCACAAACCGATCCGTCCAAATCCCGGATCCCGAACTTCTCGCAAACAAAATCCCAAATCTCTCCCCGACATAAAAGTCAACAGTCATACCAAGTTTCAAAAAGTCAAAAAACAACTCCGGTTTGACCGGAATCATATCGTGATCCAACACCCATGTGTCATAATTCATTTCCAACGCCTTTTTAACCACATACGCCATCACAAAAACTTCATTTTTCACATTACTCAATTTTAACTTCTTGAAATCATCCAAAAACCGATCCACATTTATCACAAGATTCCCACGTCTCGCAAGATCAAACAAAAAATCCGATGCGGGACCCACTAAAACATAGTTCTGAACATTCAACCTCTCAAAGTGACACAACAAGTTTTTGATGAACATTTTTGATGTTCTATGTATGTTCACGAGTATAAGAGTGTTTGATTTTTGTGTTGATTTTAAAATGGGATCGAGATCATGGACATTGTTTACAATTCTATTGGGGGAGACTTCTTGGAAACAGAAATCATACCATTTGAGATTTCTCAAAGGGGCAAAATTGGAAATTTGGGAAGTTTCTTTGAGGAGATTGGAATCGGGACCCACGGTTTTCCCGTAGTTGACACCGGCGTCTCTGTGAGAGACACTGAGAGCGGATTCGTGTGGGAAATTAGTGTAGATGTTGAAATAGGTTCGGGAGTGGATGAATTTAATGAACCATGGTGTCCATATTTTGTCCCCCATTTTTTTATACCACCCTGTTGTTACCTGTAAATTTATTAAAATGAAATTTAATGAGACAAAGAACGATTGGATTGGAATCTGAAGGAATCATAATCTGTTATGCATTTGGATGACAAAATATGGAATGGAATTTATACTTTAGGGTAAGTTACATTTTTGGTCATCGAGTAGCTAATTTTTGCAACTTGAATATCAAAAAGTTTTCTTTTGTTATTTTGGTCTTTATTTTGAGGTTCTTATGACGTTTTTGATCCATGTTTCAAGAAAAATGACTATACTCAGGGACCAAAAATGTAATTTAATGAAATGGAATCTTTAATTCCGTCCATTTGGCAAGCAAAAAAGCAATGGAATGGAATCTTTAATTCCGATGGAATCCAGAATCAAAACATGGCCTCCACTTCTATTATGGAAAAATGACCAAAAAGGACAAACTACATTACCATTCCATCAAGAATTGGCTTGATGCCCTTGGTCTTGTGTATGTCATACCATAAACGAAACTCCTTCCAGGGTTTTGGAAATAGAAGCTGGCCCCACGTTCCAACTAGCTGATATAAGAACACTTGTGTATCTTCATCTAGATGTATTTTGTTCCCATGCTTACCTGGCATCATAATCTGATTAATTTGGTAAGCTATATATGGCTTCCTTTTTTTTACATAATACATAAAGAAAGACTTAGAAGATGTGTGCAGAAACCTGTTACTTTACAAACTACTATCGTTTCAGATTCTGCTATAAATTTAATAGCAACACTTATACCTTTAGCATATAGCATAGAAGTTAACGTGTTTTGGAAGCTGTAAGCAGAAATTTTAACAAGTGTTATGAATTGGAAGTAGAATATAAGTCCACTTATGATCAAAATTTCTAAAAAAGATATGTTCATTCAATTCTATATATACAAATTTCAGGTAGAGATTCTGAGATTATCAGCGTTTGGAGAGCAGGGAATACCCCAGATTTATAGCATCTCCAAGATGAAAACTCTATGAGAGTATGGTAATCTGATTTATGCTAAAAGTATTTAGCTTTGTTCTAATGTATCTGATAATCTGCTTATGTTTGTTGGGGTATTAATTGAATAGATTTCAGAACTTAAGAGTTTTTGTGATGTTTCTAGAAGATCGAGATATATAGAACATAGGATGAAGATGGTAACCTGGAACGAATCTTGGGCGTTGTAAAGAAGCTCCATATATCCATGGACTATAATTTGAAGCATTGTAGTAATAATTAACAATCAAACCCCTAAGAAATCTGTAATACAATGGTGACAATTCGATATCATCTTCAACCACAAATGCGAACTCATCATCAGAAGCTGGCCACCATGCTTCTAACCACTGTGCTTGCAGCCCAACGTTCCCAGTTCGGTAATGCACCATCTTCTGCCCAAATCTCCACTCAAATCCATCAACAAAATCGAGAATCTGACGAGATTCGTTCAGTTTCTGATCCAAATACTCATCCTTTTGATCCAAAACCTTGAAGTGATCGATGAAAATATGAATATTCACCTTGTCGTTATCGTAACGAGCAGCAGCAAGGGATCGTAAGCAGCGGGTGAGTGACGGAAGTCGATCGTAAGTGAGAACTTTGATAGTGAGAGAGAAATTGGGCGATGTTTGTATATTAGGGTTTTGGAGTATGTTCAAATTTGTGTTCGTAAGTGGGAATTGGGTCATGGGAGGAGATGAGGGGAGAGGAAGGGAGGAATAACGGTGGAGAGAGAAAATGAAGAGAGCTGAGAGAGATACGATGAGGACGAGAGGGTAAAACCCTCTCTTTGGTGCCATTTTGAGATTTAAAACTTCATTTAGGATGGCAGAACGGCTCATAATCGATTCATCAACAAGAAATCGTCATTACTTGAACAAAATTCCATTTGATCTTGAATCATTGATCGACCAATTGATACAAGCATCAATTAGTTTCTAGTGATTTCAACAATGGATGTTCAGTTTTTGAATCTTACAGAGTCTTCTTCACTTTCAGTCCCACTTCCCCCAAATCTGGTTATGAAGTGAGTTTCAACCTTTGTTTACCTCTTGTCCTCCTTTTCTTAGAATGTCATATTTCTAGTCCATATACTTTTTTATCGACAAAACTGCAAAATTGATCTTTGTGGTATTCAAAAAATTGTGGATAAGGTCCAAAAAGTTTCCGATTTGCATGGATGGTCCAAAATCAAGATTTTTCCGTGATTTTGGTCCTAAATTTAAGAATTTTTCGTAGTTTTGGTCCATGGAGCACTTGAATTGACTGTTTTGCCCTTTTAGATTGTCTTTGTATTTTTTATTTTGTAAATATTAATGAAAAAAAGAAAAGAATTATGCTCGTCCACCCCCATCATTCCATATGTACCCCCACCCTCTCTCTCTCTCTCTCTTTCTACCATCTTCCCAATCTATCTTGTTTTTTCTCCCCAGAATTCCAATCTGCAACATGATGCCCCTATCAAACTCGTTCACTTCACAATTTCTTCACCTAATCACAAACCAAAACACCCTAAAATCAAATCCATCAAGAAAAGTCGAGATTACAACACCTAGCACCCTGTCTACAACAACGTTAGAATGCCTAACTTGGGTAATTGTGTGTCTGAAATCTATGAGCTGAGAAAGAAATCATGGATATGGCTCGGGACATACCGAGCCACTTTGTCATCTCCAAGCAATGTATAGGTTGCGGATAAGGGAGGAGTCGATGGTGTTTTTGGAGGAGCAGATAACAGAGGCGACCGATCGGAAAGAATATGGATCAAATGGCGACTAATTACAGCCCGCAACTAGTAGGTAGGGATGAACATTGTGTGATATCCCCAAAATCATAGCCAGAAAAGACCGATTTTGTTTATGCTTTATAAAAATCAAAGTACTTATTTTCATAAAAATGTTGCGGAATTTGTTCCCAGAAAAATACGATAAATACGTTATCAAAACATTTTCGAAGAAATGTATTTTATTTATGTTAAAATGTTTGGGATGTCATCGTCAATACAGAAACATAAGCATAA